GCTTAATTAGTATCCTATAGTATTTATTCTCTTCGAAATAGACTTATATACGTAGGGTATAAAACCCCCCCCGGGTCGTCCCTTCCTATCCTTCTTCTTTTTCCTTTTTATAATTTACGCCTTCCCTTTTATTTCCTTATAAAGAAATAATTTATTAGAAACTCCTAATCGATATTCTATTACTTTATATAAATAATTTTATAATTATAATCGAATAATAAAATTTCTACGCAGAGAAATAATATCCGAATAGATTTATCATTATAATCGAATAATAAGGTTTTTACGCGGAGAAATAATATATTATAGACGATTCCAATATAGATAATAATTAGAATACTATCCGGTCCGGGCAAATTAATATAGTAAAGAATTTTAATCCGAACCCCCCTTAAATTTTCTTCGACGGTACCGACTTTACAATATTATCCTACCTCTATTACCCCCCCTTCTCCTAATATCGCCAAAATAATAATAAGTAGGCTAAAAAATATAAGAAAGATTACTACGAAAATATATTAGTTAAGAAAGGATACCTACTCTACGCCGGCTATTACAACGTAAAGATAATTATATTATAATTCAATTTCAATAATAATATTAAAATTCCCGGTTACTATGAGGGAAATAATATATATTTAATCGTTTATATTACCCCCGAGTCTATTAATAATAAGTACTGACGAAAGGAATTACTATCGCTCTTTAAAACCTTATTATTTAAATAAACCATTATATTTAAATTAAAAGTAAAGGCCCTTCCTTCATAGGGCTAAAATTATTATTAATATATTAGAGAATATTAATACACGTACTTTAATATAATATACCGAATATAAATATATATACCCTTCGTATTAAAATTTTATTTACCTTTTCCCTATAGAGAAATAATATCCCTTTTTTTATATTAATCTGTTAGTTTGTATTTAGTAGCGAATATTTTTAATCCTTTTATATACTTAAAATCCTTCTACGAATTTGGCAATAAATTTTAGACCGGGGCAACCTTTAATAATCAAATTAATATATTAAAAAGTTTTCATCAATATTTCTACGATAAATAATACGGATATATTTTAATAATTATAATATAATAGGACGAATTAATTTATATTCTATATACAATTCAGATTAGGAATTTGAAAAACACTATTAAATAATAGCGATTATCGGTATATTAATAGAAAATTTATATAATAATAATATTTTACGCTATATATTTAACGTATTTTAAGACATTTCATACCGGAGTTAATTAATTTAGGAAATTCTAATATATCTAGGACTCCCGCAATAGATAGAATAAAAAAGGTTATTAAGGAAGCTTCTCTACCAATAATTAAATACGTATTATAATATACTATATTTATATTATCGGTCGTTAAACTACGAAGAATTACTATTAAACCGGTTATAATAATATATAGTTTAAAAAAATTATACTTTATTAGGTTATTTCCCTAAACAACCGGCTGGGGATTTTAAATTACGAAAGGCATAAAAAGTCGATAAATAATCTTATTCAAATTACTACTAACTAATTATATTTAGTAGCGCGGGATAGTTTTAAGACTATTGACGACTTTTTGGACTTTAATAAATTTCGGGTATTAATTTAAAATTTCAACCGTTTAGAAACGTCAATATATAATTTAATTATTTTCTAATAATTAAGCCGGACTTTTTTGAAATTATTAAAGCTGAAGAAGTTTATTAAGAATTAGAAGGATTAATTAATTTGCTAAGGCGCGTAGTAATTTTCCGACCTATATTTAAAATATCAATTTTAATTTCGAAATTAACATTTAAAATTTTATTCGTATAATTTATAACGTTTATTCGAAATTAATCCGGTTACGTTTACCGGTTTATTATATTAGTAGAAAATAATATACTACCTAATATAGATTAAATATCTTTTAATTTTTTTAACGAGGGAGATTTAGAACGTTATATATAATACAACGAAAATAGTAAAATTTATATAAAATTTATATAGTAGTTAAAGGAGAGTATAATTATTTATTAAAAGAAATGAAAGTACGAAACCGAAGTTCGTAATAAAGATATAAATAAGTAGAATTAATATGCCGAAGAATAATAGAAGCGCGGTTTTATTATGAATAGCGGTTATCGATAAAGAATTAAACTTATTAGACTTACTATTAATTGAGGAGGAGGAATAATAAGAGGTATAGGAGGAGGAGTAGTAAAAGGAATAATAAAAGGAGTAATAAGAAGTATAAAAAGAGGAGTAGGAAGAGGAATAGGAGGAAGAATAGGAGGAGGAATAGGAGGAGGAATAGGAGGAGGAGTAGGAGGAAGAATAAGAAGAAGTATAGAAAAAGGAGTAGTAAAAAGTATAGGAAGAAGAGTAGGAAGAGGAATAAGAGGAAGAATAGGAGCAGGAATAGTAGGAAGTATAGGAGGAAGAATAGTAGGAAATATAGGAGAAAGGGAACGAGGAGGAGGCGGAGGCGGAGGAAGACGGTCTTATAAAAGTCTCTTTCTAGAAGAATAGTAACCTAAATATTTAGATTTATTTTTAATAAATTATTAATCTATCCTTAATATATTTTTGAATTATCTTTAACTAAGTTAATTAATATTTAAATTAGTATTTAATTAATAAAAAATATATATATAAAAAGCGCGATAAGATCGCGTTTTCCGCTAAATTTATTTACGCACTATATGAAGAATTTAAACGTATTTATAAATTTTACTTTAAATATATCTTTAATAAATCTTTTATTAATTATCGATTTATTATAAGTCCTCCTCCCTACTATCTTAAATAGGGCAGTAAAGGCCGGAATTATATTATTTAGTACGAATTCCGCCGCTATCCGGATAAATTTATAAAATTTACTCTTTTCTCGTCTACAATTTAAAATATATCCTAAATATATTATAAATATATTATCGGATTTTATATTTCTCTACAGGGGAATTTTAAGCGAGCAAATAAAATTATTTTTCTACGGGGGGATTTTTATATATATAACCCGAATAAGCCTATAAAATTTAATTTCTTCGTCTACAGCTTAAAATATATTCTAAATATATCATAGATATATTATCAGACTTTATTCAAACTACTATTATTAATTTAATATATTGAATTGACTCCGTATGAATACGTATTGTAATAATTATATCAATCTTTTTCTTTTGTAAGTCGGACCAATTTTGTATGTGAATGTACGGACTATGGGGTTAGGAAGCTTTGGGTATGGGGTCGTGTCATCTGACCACTCGAGGACTGAGCAGAGCAATACGGTGAGGCGAGCAGCAGTGGCATGAGTGGCTCCACAAGTCACCCACACCCACCGAACAGGGGTCGTTGCCTGCCAGTGAGCTGCCACTGTCCGCGCCTACACACACTCACTCTCCCACTGCACTCCGGCCGCGCCTTCCTCAACCACTTGCAACCTGGATCACGCGATCTCGGAGACTTCTCTTCACAATGACTGCCTGGATGGATGCCCTCAATTGATGACAGAATGGGAAAAACGAAAACTCTGACAGCTGACCTGCCCTGGGTCTTTCCACTTCAAGCGTGTAGTGCAACATGGAGACGCCCAAAACCTGAATGGCCTCCTTTCCCTCTTCCCTCTTCACCACTCTCACTGTCTACAATGTTCCAAGTCGACGGTATTCCCGTCCAGGCCTATCTCGACCTATCCAGATGCCTCGCTCTCCAGTCATCACCTCATCCCACCTCTTGAGTTGGCAACCACACCATTCACACCATTGCTGACCGGTCTTGGATACCAGACGTAGCCACGATCCTGCTGAGAGGCCGATAGTCTATTTGCCATCAATCAAGTCCACGGCCGTCCTAACCGTACTGTTGCATTGGCAGCGTTCTCACCCCCATGATGTGCCCTACTGCGACTCCTGCCTGAGTCCGGTTGCTTCTGCTGGGCTGGATGGACGCCCAAGCACGCTCCTTGCTCCTTACAGGCAAGACAAGCAACCAACAAACGGCTGGCGACCATGTACAGGATCAGAGTCAAAAACTGGCTGGACATGCCGCCGGTCTGGCCGTCTGGCCGTCTGCCTTCTCCTCGCCTGCTCCCTGTTCCAGATATCCAGATGAGCTGAGTCCGCTTAGATTCCCATGTCTCTACTCAGAACCGCGTCTGCTGCACTGAGCAAGCAATACCGGCATTGCTACGGACGACAAGACTCATCACCGGTCTCAGAATAGCGACGGAGAGCGGCTTCAGTCCTCGATATCTCAGTCGACCCCCCGGCCTCGCGCACTGGATACCCGCCGGGAGCTTGTATCAGTAGCCCCAGCACACTGGTCCCGCGAGGCGCAGGAGTACCAGATTGACTCAAGATGGCGTATAAGCTGCAACACAGCAGTAGCCTGCCATACCGAGTCTCGGTAGCCGGCGTCAGCAGGATGGGGCAGGATGGGGGAGGTGGGAAGGGGGCCAGAAGGGGGGTAAGGCGTGTGAATGGGTCACCGTGTAGGCACTGCCCTTGGGTAAAAGTCACTGCTCGTGGCCAGTGGGCAATACTTCCTCACAGTACCATTGTCATGGTCCATGGCCCATGGTCCTCATCCCGGCAACCACAGACCTGGAACCCTGCTGTAGCATGGTAACACGGTAGTACGGTAGCACGACGGCGGTGATTTGTTTCTGACAGATCTCGCAGACCGCAAAAACTGATCAGGTAGCCGGTAAAGGTATGGTCACCATTGTCTCTTCTGCCCGCAAAGCATTGGCTAACCACGCCCAAGGTCTACAAGCCTACCAGGCCCCCCATATGCCCGTCATATCTCTTAGTCTAGTCCAAGACAAGACATGCTCAGTTACACGACCCCATTTCTCTTTTCGATATGCACCAAATGCATTCCTACCCAGGGCAACGACCAGGCCGCCACCTGGGGTTGGAACCCAGATCTCGCCAACAGCCGCAGCTTGGGCTTTGCTTCTTTGTACATGATTCACCGTGGCTGTTTGTGGCCGTTGCTTGCTGCTTGTCCACAACCTCTTGTCTATTTAGTTTTCCCCTCCTGGAATTTCCCTGGTCGTGTATAAGAACGCCATCGTATCCTCTCCTTACCACCAACACAACCCCATGATCCACAGTCACACCTGACCTCAAGCGTCTACTGCACTCTCGTTTCACCAACAACACCTCCAGTAACCTCTCGCTTGCTTCCAAGCACATGCACAATGGCTCCCGGAAGCTCACGATCATCCAGGCCCAAGCCGTCTGAAGTGGCTGCCGAAACCAAGAGGCAACACATCCCCTACATCAGGTCTTTGGGCACGTGGGACATCAGCTCCTATCTTTTGCACCAACCGCTAGCGCAGATCAACTTCCAACAGAGACCTCACGATATTGCCCCTCCCCAGTTCTGTAAGACCCCCACGCTTCCGAGACATGTCATTCCTGTCTAATCACCAACCCCAGTTGTCTACAACGGCGATCCAGTCGACTGTGCCTTGAACTGGGCAAAGCAGATCGCAGAACCACACACGGTAGCCTTCATTTGCGCGGCCAACGACAAAAGACCAGGCGGAGATTGGGAAACGGGAGCTGTTGGCTACGAGGAACGCCTATGCCGCCGAAGCACTCTCTCTGCGAACTTGGCAACACCTGCGCCAGGATCAACAGTGACTGAGAATTACCCCATCCCAAGCTATGGTGGTATTTACTCGCGAGATGTCGGTTAGTATTACCAACTGCCATGTTATAAACTACTTTCTGACCGCTCGTGACTTTAGTTGTATTCCGAGGGCCTCACGACAGATATGAGAAGCTCCCGCCCGAGCAGTGGCAGTCGATTCCTGTCGTTTCAGTCCATCCTACCCGCTGGCCTAAACTTACGCAAAACGGAACAAAGTTCTCCTTCCAAAACGAACGCGACATGTTGAAAGACTTGTTACGAGGAGCACTCCGAATTGCAGCCTATAACGGCCATACACAGCTTGTCATTGGCGACTTCGGCCTTGGCAATGGCTACCGCAACCCGCCCCAAGAGGTGGCCGAGATGTGGCGGGAAGTCTTGCTCTATGACCCTGACCTGCGTGGGCGTATCAGCTCCGTGGCCTTTGTCTTTGAGGACCCAAATCAAAGTACCAGCAAACTAATCCTGGAGGATCTTGCCAAGAAGGCCAGGGAAACTCTTAGCAGCGCCGCTGCCGCCGCTTGTCCTTCCGACTTGGAAGTATTTCACCGAGTGTTTCACGACACCGAGATCCAGCGAGTAGTCAGCCAGCCGGATTCTCGGTATGGGCTAAATAACCTGCTTGCGAGCTAAATACTCCCTTCGTTACCGTTCTGTCGTGCTCTGGAGTTGGCGTTGGGTTTGAGTTTCGATTGCATAAAACCGCGGATTCTGCTGCCATGGTGGGCAAATACCCTGGGGCCCTGGCAAGGGTCTCTGAAAGCGATTCTATCAGTGTTGTGAGACACCCTAACGGAGTTTGGGTTTCTTTAGCGAAAGGGCGCATAATGGTGGGCTATGGGATACGCTGTTGGTCGCTCCGGTGTCTTGCTTCTTTTCTTACCCTTTTGGACCCCTTTTTGAATACAAGAACTTCCCCCACATCGCTGGTTGACTGCACATTGTACTCTGCTTTGCTACTTTTAGTTCTCGACTACTGATATCGCTACCACAAGAGGGCTTGGTGTGTACTAGCTTGGTGAGCGGGTGCTGTAGGTGACCCGCCACCACTGTCTGGCCTGCTCATCGAGTTGGCTGCCAGATCCTGCTCAAGTGACTGGAAAAAGCAAAATTGCACCTGTGTATATGGGCATACCAGTCACTTATTGGTCTGTTCATCGGCATGATCAACCCGGTGAAGCGCGCTTACGATCATGTCAGACACAACACCAGGCAATGTTCCGTGCTAAGGTGTCACGCATAGAGCATTGACCCTTCGAAGGTTCTAGGGAGACTGGGGGGTGCGGTTGGTATGTATCATCACCGTTGTTACGAACATCAAGGGCATCCCGAGGAATGAGACCAAATCCAACGGGCCGACGAGCTTGTTTGCCGGCAAAACAAGACACCTTTCGGGGATCCCCAAATGGATTCATGACGCAGCTTGACGTCCTGATCGTTGCAAGATGTACCCCGGTTGAACCAAACTTCTACTGTTGTCCATCCTTTTAGACGAATACGGCGCTGATTCTCACAACAGAGTTGAAAAACACGATCTCAGCATGTTGAGGTTGTCTTTGGGGGCCAGTGGACGACCGGGGGGCCTCAACAAGCCATGCCATTTGCCTGCATGAGCCCGAAAAAGCAACGTTCGAACATCGACTGACTGTTGGTCCCATCAATGCCCAGCTAACCTGATACCACCATTAGTGCTTTGTTTTTCATCCTTGGTGGTTTCCGAACCTACTCTTGAGAAACCGGCAACTGGGAAGCGAGTGCTCAAGCTTATTCTTAACGCTTAACATTATCACGGGTCACAGATCCGAGTAATATGGCTCGAAAGTGGTCCCTTCTCGACAAGTAAGGCAAGCCACCCTGAGACACCACTAGAGATTAGACATGCTCATGGTTACTTTTGTACAGATGCCGGAATATGTTACCTATTGAGCAACAGTGCTTCAGCAATTTACTGTTCATGGAGCTTCCCCCTCATCAAGCAGATCTTGACCGGTTCAGCAGGATCCATGGGGTAACCCGCTACGCCGCAGTTGATCCTACACGAGGCTACGCTGCACTGCAGGACAATGCAAGTTTGTCATTCAACATACATATTCCCCCAAGCAGCACTGCTGATTAGGTTTCGTCCATAATACGGCAGTTTTGTCAAAGTAAAGAATGTCTTCAGTATATCTTGTCCAATCGAGCCTGAATGACGAAGGAAGGGGAAGAACCAGCGGTCACATCGCAGCATGGCCCCAGGACAACAAACATACCAGTTCAAAGGAACATGTAAGATCCAGATCCGAGTCTGTGAAGGCATCAAAGGGGTTTGCAATGGCGCTAACCGATTACGTCTCCGCAATTCACTTACAAAATATAGGCAGGGCATTACGTACGACACAGTGAGCGAGACATTAGGGACTACGTTTGTTTCAAAACAACAATGGTGCCTTACGGGGGGTAAGAACATGGCATGAACGTGGGCATGGGCATGGTTATAGAGTGCAGCTTGCTCCTTTTCCGTCCTCAAGTGGCGCATCTCTACTCCTACCCTTCAATAAGGCCCTTACGAGGCAATCATTCTCCAGCGTGCTAAGTACGTCTTGTCTCCAATCACCTTTCAGTCACCCCGTTGACGTCGTCTCATATATTCTGCAGTGATAAGGCAAATATGACGGGAGCAAAGCGTCGATGGCCCACGTATGACCTTGTCCTGTCATTGCACTTGGTCGAATGCAACTCTCGAGTCGAGTTCACACCCTTCATCACTCGGGATATTCCTCTCCCGTCCCTCCTTCCAAATAACAAAACGTGTTGGTCAAGCAAGCAGCGCCTCCATCACATAACGATGGGGCCCTCGCTCTCGCTTACTCCATCCGAAAGCGGATGCTTACTTGAATAAACCTGGCACTGACTACCGATCGGTCCAGTCCGAACGCTTACCACCCCCACGGAACTGGAAACATTCCATACAAGACCGTCTGTCACTTGACCGTGTGAATGTTGAAGATACGTATGTGTCAAACCACCCAGCAGGTACGGTACTGCATGTAAGCCTTGGTAAGTCTACCCGATTTCTCCCCTTTCAATGAGCTAACTGGATGAGCTACGCAGTACAACTTACATCAACCATGACTTCATATTTGCATCTAGACTGGAAACCGTCAAATTCATCAAGAACCGGCTTAGTCCGCCCTTAATTGGGACTGACAGCATCGAGATACGCCACCTATCCGATTACTACAGTGGCCTTACCTCCTCACCTTCATTCGTGTACGTTACACAATCACACGGACCGTATTACACAAAGATCAGATCACATCAAGCTGGGTGGTGTTGTTGCGTTACGCAGCACACGGCACAACAGCATCCCACAGATAACATGGTGTACATTGGTCGCTCTGTGGGTGTGCCTTGTATGCCCTGTAAGCCCCGTGGACTCCTCCGTGACGGGAAACGGCATGTTTGTCTGCGATCTGTACCACCCGATCTCGCACACCACCCTTCACTTTGGCTCACTTGTGTTTCCCCAGTGCTCTTTCCCACCGCATCTCTGTATAACACAACCTTGAGGCCACGAGTGCTACATGCCTACCACTCGTTGTTTCCACAGTGGATTGACACCTAGTGGACAGGTATCTATGAGCTACCGCCCGCAACTCCCTGTCTGTTAACAGCATGTCTCCAACTTACCGCCTTTACGATGTATATCGAACTCGATATTTGTCTCTCTGTTAAACACGACCCGACCCTGGAAGAAGGTTGACCGCGCATGCGACCGGTTTTGTGTTAGCACACTACCGGAATTAAGCCTACGACCACAAGAAACTGTGTTATTACACGTTGTTGACCGCAAGTTTAACGCCATGGGATTTTCCTAACGGTAGCTACGTCCAAACTAGCGGCGGGCACGCAGCGCATCACGAACGGGCCGGGTACGCCTCCGGGTGAGAGATTGATCATCATAAGGGAGAAGCTACTTTAGCTCTGACCCGTCTGCGATGATGATGGGGTGGCGACTGTACTGTCCTGCTTGGGCGAGAATCGCATTCCCCCCCAACTCACTATCTGTCTGCCCTCTCTGCATTTAGGCAATCCGCGGTTAATGTTCAGTAACTGACATCATATCGATATCTCTCGGACTCTCATCAAATCATCGACGCTGGATTCACTGACCTATTTTATTTCATCCTTTGGATCATTTCAACAGATAACGCAGTTCACACAGTATGTCACCACCTCAAAAAGTGCTACTTCACAGTGTTTCAGGGTTGACACGATACATGGCAAGCCGCAACCACCTCCCACATACCGACGGCTGCTACTGGCTCAACGGACTTACACTATTCATATGTAGCTTGGGTGGGACAGCGCACACCACCATCCCTTGTACCTGGGACCCAACAGCCATTTTTCAGACTAAAACCCCAGAAAGACAACATCGCTGCCGGACTCACCCCACCCACACACAACCATGCACTCGGCATTGGAGACGCCAGGAACAAAGAGATTCAGCCCAACAGACCAGGCCGGACAGAGACAGGAACAGGGACCAGGTTTAGGGCCAAACAAAGGGACACAGGGGTTTTGCAGGGCTCAAAGGATGATCAACGGCACTATGTGGCGCCTGGGAGTGTGCCTCATGTTGAGTACGAGCTCATACGTACCCATCAGCTCACAACCTTTGAGGCAAGAAGCTTAACCTGGCCCTAGTTGCATCGAGAGAGCGTGAGATATCGTGGGATGACAGAAAAACTAACAGGCAGCAGGTCAAAGAATTACGGTGGCATATTCTAGTCGGTAACCGCGGATACCTGACGAACAAGAAATGTCCACCCGATCTTTCAAGTTACTGGTTCGTCGACTCTGTCTCCAGTTCTCAGCTAAAGCAACCTTCGTGTCCCAGTCTACCATACATGCCGCGCATGTGGTTGTAGTCAAGCACTCCCTCACCCTCACCCTCACTCACTCACTCAAAGATCATCCCTCATTTCTCGTTCCCCCCATCCCACCAACCAGCCATCCATCTCTCTTTTGGGCTAGGGCAAGTTGTCCAAGAGCCAAGCAAAGCCAACCAAGCAATACTCCGACCCAACGGGCCGGTGAGACAGTTACACTACTGCAACTCGAATCTCACTTGTACATTGTACTTCCCCAAATCCAATACTCATCCACCACCCACTACCCACAAAGAGGGGAAAGAACGGCAGACGAATTGGACAAAGCTGTGAAACGCCGGGCACCTCAGGTATGCAATGTCGTGGAGGATCATATGTAGGCAAGTGGGATGAACAGGAACCAGCCATGACTGATTACAACACTGCGACCACGAACAGCCCAAGCAAGAATAGACGGAGCATACCCTGACTCATTACTATCTACTCCCTCATGTCTCACTGCGTGTTTATAGGCAGGAAGTCCGAGCGAGCGAGCGGCTTACCCAGTTTGTGGGTGGGGGTAGGAAAAGAGGAGCGGCAAGTGGGAAGCATAACAGGACCCGATCACATGGCTGGCGATATTTGGAACCCTCTGCTCGCTCAGTGGTGAGTAAGAAGGCGATGATTGTGGTAGCTTGCGAATGGCAAAAAGCCGTGTCCTTCCTGCGGTAAGAACCTTATTGTTCATACTCGTATCATATGGGATGCCCAATGCTTCCCAAATCCCCCATCTTCCCTTGACCATCACGAGAAAACGATTCCGGCACTCAATCAAAAGTCCATTAGGTTCGTCCATAATTCCTCTTGTCCCCTCCTCTCTTGCCTTTTTGCTCACCTGGAACAATCTGATAACTGACACATCACTTTTGCTTTCATTTCTTGCTCTTTTATAGGCGTTTAAAGTAGCATAGCACCACATCAAACGCTTCCTTGCTACTTCCTCGCTACGACGCTATGTTATTCACCTAGCTTCAAATCTCTTTCTGCTCATGCGACCTCTCGATCTCTCATTCCCGG